CAATGCCATCTGGCTATTACCTGGGGGAGGGCCTTCTCTGTGGCAGCTCCGGCCCTCTGGAATGAACTCCCCGCAGAGATTTGTTTTTATGTTCCCCTTTTTCCCCTTTTGAATTGTTCGCCGCTCTGAGTCCTCCCGGAGAAGGGCGGCATACAAATAATAAAATTCTATTCTATTCTATTCTTGCACATATGTGCTAGTCGTTCCTGACTCTAGGGGGAGGAGCTCATCTCGTTTCAAAGCTGAAGAGCCAGCGCTGTCTCAAGACGTCTCCGTGGTCATGTGGCCGGCATGACTAAACACTGAAGGCACATGGAACGCTGTTACCTTCCAACCAAAGGTGGTTCCTATTTTTCTACTTGCATTTTTACATGCTTTCAAACTGCTAGGTTGGCAGAAGTTACCTAGGGGGTTCCATGCACCAATTCTTTACCAAAATGTTACTTGTATAGTATTCCCTGAGGAAAAGTTGATGGTCTTGAATTGTTTTGTCATGGGATCAGTCTTAAAAACACATCTGTCTTTGAATCACTCAAAAAAAAGTTTCCTTTTTATTGTTTTAATTTTCAGTAGGGATGTACGCCACTCTGTATCAACTCAGTAGCATATATACCCAAGAAATTAATGCACACGGAGCTACATCATTGGGACACTGTTCAGAGGGAGAAGAGGGGGAAAATATGTGATTCCTTCCATCACTTTTCCACTAAATAAAAACACCTATCTCCTCACTGAACTCTCTTTTAAATGAGCTCCATTCCTTCTTCTCTGAACCTTTTCTAACATTCCAGTTCCATAGGCTGCATTTTACTCCCACTTCATTCTGCTGTCCATGGACAATTGTGAGTTGGATGGTACCAAAGTTTTAGAACTGATTCCATCATCTCTAGTTAGCATAAGAAAGAGTTATTTTTTTCCAAGGAATCCAGGCTGGAAAAGGCTGCTCAATTGCTCCTAATGCTTTGCTACAGTTATCTACATACTCACTATCATTTGAGAGATTGACTTTTCACACTGCATAATGAAAGGGTAAATTATAGAGAGATAGTTAGCTGCCTTGACAACAAGTGACTAGGTTCAGATGGTTTAAAATTAGAAGGGCTTTTCATTAGATCTATTTATTTCTACTTTACCTGTCTGAAAAACAAGGAGATTAATCAAGTAATACCGTATGCCAACTTTTGAAATTATTTAGGAACATATCAATTTTTATCCATTTATGTTTATTGAATGTGTATATTGCCCAGTAAGAAAAACATACTTGTCAAAGCAAAATTGGGATTTTCCACTTCCATCCGCTGGAGTTGTGCACTCAGAAACACTTTGATATCTATGCCCCTTGCAAAAGATGATGAATTAAAAAACCTTGATGGAATTTTAGAAGCAATATCTGGTTCATCACGTCCGAATCCAAGATTATAGAGAACCTCTTCAGGATCTTCCTCATAGAGTTCCAGTAGTTCAGACACACTATATTAAAACAATAACACAAGAATTGCACTATATAGTATGCTCTTCTGGTTAGGTACAGAGGGGAAATCTGTAAAACTATTAAATTGAATACCTGGATTAAAAGATTGAGACTGCAATTTTTAGCTTTTAAAGGAGATGAAAGGAAATGACATTATGATTCTGTGATCTTACTTGAAATATATTTATAAACATTGAAATATTTGTGGTGTACTCTCCCATAATTCTATTAATCTCAACAAGACTTCTCAGCACATCTAGAATAAGTTTCACTGGAGTGGCTGGGGAATTCTGGGAGTTGAAGTCCATAAGTCAAGTTGCCAAGATTGGATACTCCTGAGCTACACTGTTAATTTGGATATTAATGAGCCGCAAAATTTGCCCTAGAACCATGATGGTGAACCTATGGCATGCATGCCACAGGTGGCACACAGAGCCTTCTCTGTGGGCACACGAGCTATCGCCCTAGCTCAGCTCTGGCGCGCATGCCTCCCGCTGGTCAGCAGGTCTTTGGGTCTTGCCGCACATGAACAGGGCACATGTGGGAGATGCACGCATATGCATGGGGCACATGTGGGGGGGTCACGCACACATGAGAGGGGAATGGGATGCACAGGGGTGGTTGCGTGCACATAGCATTATGGGTGTGTACGTGCGGCCGCATTCGGCATTCTGTGCCAAAAGGCTAGCTGTCACTGGCCTAGAATAATGTTTAATTTTGCATGGTTTTGGTCAATAATTATATACAAGGGCAGAGTGTCAGCTACCCCAACCTTGTTCAAACTTCCTTGAAAGCAAAGCCCTACTCACAAACCCCGTAAACTCCAACTATATAGCTCTGCGAAGACTTTGCCTGTTCATTCAGTCTTTGCTATCATAACTACACTGTTAGAAAACATTAAGACGTGTAATCGGTCAGCAAACTCACTGCATCCTGTAAGATTTGGATTCTAAGCATCCAATCAGCCAAACTGTTTTGCAGAATGTGTGGCACCTTGTCCTTCCCAGTTCTTTATTTCTTAAATTCAAGGCAATGATGGCCTGAACTAGGCTAGGCCTATCACCTGCAACTTAGAGGTACTCTACCAATCTCCCTAGTCACCTCTTTTTTAAAAAAATACTTAACGCCGACTGACTTGAGCTCACGCTGGTTTATTTTGTAAAAAGATCCTGCGCAGCCTCAATAAGGAGCGTTTCTTTTTTTAAAGGATATGGGGAGTGAAGATTAGGCTCCTAGCCTGTTCTTAATCCAGCATTGTTGTAATAACAATATGAGAAAGGGTGTGCAATATAATGTACTTTATACTCCGCTTGATTTCCTCCCAAATTGTGCCTGGAGACTTTACAGATAGAGTAGGTAATCCGCTCAAAATTTTTGCCTTCCAAAGCATGGGAAGCCAGAGAAATGCAGACTGAACCACACATTTATCATTTATCATTTTATTTATCATTTTATTAAAGCTTATAGGCCGCCCTTTTCCCTGAGGGGACTCAGGGCGGCTTACAAAAAAAAATGTAAACTTGTTT